AACCGGGGAGAGGATGGAGGTTGCTGTGAGCTGTGATGCCATGGCACTCTACCCAGGGCGACAGCTTGAGGCTCTGTTTAAAAAAAAAAAAATTAACAACCCTAATTGTATGCATAAAAGCAAATGGAATCCTAAACAGTAACATATGTTATCATATGACCAAGGTATATACCTAAGAGGATTGAAAATGTGTCCATACAGAAACTTGTACACAGGTGTTCATAGGGACATTATTCATAATAGCCAAAAAGCAGAAACAACACAGATATCCATCAACTGATAAATGGATGAACAAAATGTGGTCTTGTGACACCATGGCACTCTACTGAGGGTGACATAGTGAGACTCTGTCTCAAAAAAAAAAAAAAGTGGTCTTGCCATTCTGTGCACTATTACCCAGCCACAAAAATGAATGAAGCACTGATACATCTTATGTGGATGAACCTTGAAAACATTATGCAGAATGAAAGCAGAACACAAAAGGCCACACATTATATGATTCCATTTTATATGAAATGTTCAGAATTGGCAAATCTGTAAAACAGCAAGTAGATTGGAGGTTGTAAGGGCTGAGTAGGATGTGGGAATGAGGAGTGACTGCTAAGAAGTACAGGTTTCTTTTTGTCCTGAAATTAGGTAGTGGTCATGGTTGCACAACTTTGTTAATATCCTTGAAAGGGGTGAATTTTATGGTATGTGAATTCTATCTCAAAATCAGATGGAGCTTTAGTTTTAAAATGTTCATAAAATTATGAGTTAAATTACAATTATTTCTGATCATATTCAGTAGTTGTATTTAATTGTCTTGTAAAGGTCTTCCTGGCCTTGGGCTGAATGAGAGAACTTTACTTTTTTTTGAGACAGAGTCTGTCTATGGGGTAGAGTGCTGTGGTGTCATAGCTCACAGCAATCTCAAACTACTGGGCTCAAGCAATCCTCTTACCTCAGCTTTCCAAGTAGCTGGGACTACAGGTGCCCGCCACAATGCCCAGCTATTTTTAGAGACAGGGTCTCGCTCTTGCTCAGGCTGGTCTGAAACTCCTGAGCTCAAGCAGTGTACCCACCTTGCCATTGCAGAGTGCTAGGATTATAGGCGTGAGCCACC